GAATTCTTCCGTGGAACTGTCAGGTATGTTCATATAATCATCCTTAATTTACATATAATGTGAAATCATAAGACATATAGTGACTTCTTCTAAAGCACTGTGGTTTGCTGATTTTCTGGGATCTGTAAGTCAATGTGGCTTTTCTTTATGTTTTTAAAATCAAATTTTGGAAAATTTCAGCCATTATTTCTTGAAATATATTTTTCTCTGTCCCATTCTTAACTCTCTTCTCCTTTGGGACTTTCAATTACATGTATATTGGACTATCTGATGTTGACCCACAGTTTTCCTGCAGTCTTTTTTTCCTCTCCGTTCTTTCTTCGTTTTTTTCAAAGTTTTATTTATTTAAGTAATCACTATACCCAGTGTGAGGCTCAAACTCACCACCCCAAGATCCAGAGTTGCATACTTTTCTGACTAAGCCAGCCAGGTGCCCCACTCTCTCAGTTCTTTAGATTGGATTTTATATATATATATTTAAAGATTTATTTATTTATTTATTTGACAGAGAGAGACACAGTGAGAGAGGGAACACAAGCAGAGGGAGTGGAAGAGGGAGAAGCAGTCCTCCCGCCGAGCAGGGAGCCCAATGTGGGGCTCAATCCCAGAATCCTGGGATCATGACCTGAGCCAAAGGCAGATGCTTAATGACTGAGCCACCCAGGCGCCCCTGGATGATTTATATTGATGTTTTCAAGTTCACTGACTCTTCTCCTATCTCTAATCTTCTTTTAAAAGCCCATCCATTTCTTTTTTTCAGTTCTGGAATTTCTTTTTTTTTTTCCTTAATGATTTCAGTTTTCTGCTGAGATTCTCTGTATATACCTTTCTATATACCATATATATTAAAAATAAAGTCTTTGAACATACTTCCCTTAAATTTTTTTTTAAAGATTTTATTTATTTATTTGAGAGAGAGAATGAGAGACAGTGAGCACGAGACAGAAGAGGGTCAGAGGGAGAAGCAGACTCCCTGCTGAGCAAGGGAGCCCGATGTGGGACTCGATCCCGGGACTTCAGGATCATGACCTGAGCCGAAGGCAGTTGCTCAACCAACTGAGCCACCCAGGCTCCCTCCCTTAAATTTTTAAAACATATTTATACAAGTTGCTTTATTTCATCTGTTAATTCCAACATCCGGGCCATCTTGGGGTCAGTTTCTGGTGACTGCTTTCTGACTTGTATATTGGATATGGTGGATAGTATGTTAGAAAGATTTGAATTCTGTTATCTTCATATGAGAAATGTTGATATGTTTTTTTTCTTTTTGCTAATAGTTCATTTACTGACATCACCTACAGCTTGTTTAGGTTTGGTCTTATGCTTTCTTAGACTGTATCTGTGGAGAGCTTTAAGGTGTTTCCTGAGTGTATCTAATTTGGCAGGACGCTCACCTCCCAACCTCTGCCCCCTTCCCCATCTTGCAGGACTTATTTTAGGCTTCATTAGAGCAGATCTAGAGTAGGCGTTACTCTCAGATACGGTTTTTACTCCCAGGGCTCTGTCTTTTGGGTATCTTAGCTGGATGCCCAAAGTGTTAATGAGGTATCTTATTGTTTCACCCCTGTGACTGACCAGAACTCCTAGGATTTCCATTGTCCTCAGCACTGTTTGACCTCTAGTTATCTCTGTTCCATTCTTTTTTTTTTTTTTTAAAGATTTTATTTATTTATTTGAGAGAGAGAGTATAAGCGGGGAAGAGGGAGAAGCAGGATGATCCTGGGATCATGACCTGAGCCAAAGGCAGACGTTTAACCTGAAGACTGAGCCAACTAGGTGTCCCTTATTCCATTCTTAATCCTTTAGCAGTTCTCCAGTAAGCTTTGTTTTGCCTTTGGCATGTGCAGCCCAGACTACAGCCAAGGATTCTTAGAGAACTTCCACACCAGGACCTCTCTGCACAGATCTCTTTTCTCTGGGGCCTTCCACCACAGATGTCAACTACTTAAACTCTAATCTCTGCTTCCTTAGTGGACTGCTGTCCTCTGCTTGGGCTGTTTCCTTTCTTGGAGTACCCTTTCATCAACCTTACCCTTGCCCTGCTTGGACTTTAGCTCAAAGCACCATAATTAAGAAATGTTGCCTGACAGAGAGCTGAGGTGGTCACGGGGCTTACCTCATGTGTTTCCCTTCTCTCGGGAATCACAATGTTCTACCTATTTAATGCCAGAAAAAGTTGCCTTACATATTTGTTCACTTGTACAGTAATTGATGGTGGGAAGGCTAGTTTAGTTCTAATTATGTTGTCCTATCCAGAAGTCTAATTCTGAAGCCTGTTTAGTTTGGAAAGGGGATCTGTTCTTAAAAAGTGAAAATTTTACTTCTTTTTAGACATTTTTTTCCCCATTCATCCAGGCAACGATTATTTATTTCCTGTCTTCTGTCTGCATTTGGCACAAAGCATACAAGCAGAAGGAGGCACAGTTTCTTTCCTCAAGGAGCATACTTTCTTAGTGGATTAAGAGACCAGCAAACAGGAAGTTCAAGTCTGGTTCTTTTTTCTTTTTTAAAATAAACTTGTACTGAAGCATAACACACATTGATATCATACAGCATCCCGCCTCCTCAATTTGGTAACTTGTTATATAAGGAAAAATAAATTAATCCACCTTTTCCAAAGGAGAGGCTTTTGGTAGTAGATGTAAGCTCTAAGTACACTTTTCTGAACCATTGTTTCTTAATTATTAACCATTTAATTTGCTTTATATTTAAATAATTAGTGAGAGCTATAAAAATGCTCTTTATCTGCTCATGTATTGGTTTCACTGTTTTATCATTGGGAAATGTTCTCACTAGAGATGCAGATATCATATATCTTAATGTATTTATGATGTTAAAAACTATTTTTCTGTCTCTCTACTATAGTGTATTTAATAATCAAAACAAATTTTTTTGACTTTCATTTTTATAAGGTCAGCCTAACTCATGAAAAACAAACATCTTTACCCTGCTTCATATATCACTGCTTGACAGCCTGATAATCTTCAACTCAGGGTCTGGCTATAGAATGACTTTTGCCAGCAATCACTGGTAATGATGTATGAATTCGATATGAAACAGATTTTCTTCCTTTTCTCTTATGACCTCCACCCAAAATTAGATTGACTTTAAATTGATTATAGAAAAAATAGCTTGAAAAGCTGTTGTTTTTTTCTTTGGTAAAATGCCCTTGAACGTTAACTTAGAAATAAGATATGTTAAACTTCTATTACAGTGGTGCTATCTCAACCGTGGTGGTTTCTGAACCACCACATTTTTCTGAAACCTCCCCGAATAAGAATTCTTGACCATAGAACTTCTGACAGTCCTTATGGGGGAACTAAGCTTTGGTATAAATTCAATATACAAAATTAATAGAATATCAGTGACATGTTATTTATCCTCAATGAGTACATGTATCATTTCTTGTTTTCTACTTTTAAATATTTTATCTTTCCTGTTGTTTTATGTATGCTAGCATTTTTCATGTGTGGCCCTTCATTTAAAAGTCTAGTGCCTTTCTTTTTTTTTTTTTTTTTAAGATTTATTTATTTGACAGATAGACACACAGCGAGAGAGGGAACACAAGCAGGGGGAGTGGGAGAGGGAGAAGCAGGCTTCCTGCTGAGCAGGGAGCCCAATGCGGGGCTTGATCCCAGGACTCTAGGATCATGACCTGAGCTGAAGGCAGACGCTTAACTGACTGAGCCACCTAGGCGCCCCAAGTCTAGTGCCTTTCTAATTTTTGACTGAGAGTTGTTGATTTTCACTTCCTACCTGCAACTATAGTAGAAGGAATAAATATATAAAATAAATAAAATAAAAAATACTTGTTTTTCAAACCTACTTTCTCATTACCAAGCATATGAAGTCAGACCTTCTTATACACATCTGTCTTCTTTCTTATAGATACTGATATTTCCCCAAACTTATAATTCCAAGAAGTCATCACAATAACCTCACACCTATATCATTCACAGTGTACCTGATTTGCTAATGGTGTATTTGTGTGTGTACTTACTTCAGTAAGTACTATATACCTCTGTTCTTGTGTTCTGTTTTTTTTTTTTTTTTTCATTAACTCCTCCAGAACCAGTGCCACCTTCAATGCACAGTTTTGTGGTAGATAACATTCTGGGAAGTTTGGTCCCACTTGTGTGTTGTATCAACTTAGTAACATCATACTTTTGTTCTTCACAAAGTAGGATTTATAAATTGTTATATTTACCTGATAATAGGTGACACCTATCTTGGGCTCATGTTAAATTAAATACGTAAAAGAAAGTAGAATAATTTGGTGAAATTACTAAAAAGGGTAAAGGATTTTTAGGTATCTATGGGCATGCGAACTCTTCTTTAAAGGATCTATGTTAGCAGCATCTTGGGAGCTGTTAGTTTCAGTTACTGTAGTTAAGTCATATGCAGTTCTTTAATAATACCTTTAGGTTACCTGGGGTCTCCTTTTCAAATAAGCAAAGTTTTACCATATTTTCATTGATACAAAAATGTGATTGTTGTCTATGATGGCAGAAAATATCTACGATACAAAACTTGCAGTGTTGCTTTTTTGGGTTGTCAGTGACTATTGTCATGTGTGGTCAGATGGTAATAATAGAAACCTTTCAATCCTTTCTAGACTGTTTCTTCAGCCTGGTGCTGTTTCTTCCGACTTGTTCACCCCTGTCTCTCTCCCAGTTGCATTTTTAACACAAAAGAAACATTGTCTTCATTAGCAGAGGGAATAAATGTTTGCCTCTGGTTTCCATTTCCTCTGTATCTTTTGAATAGGATTGAAAATAATTTTGAAAAGATAGGATAGTATATGTTAATAGGTCTGGGCTAAGACAATTGTGATGAATGTTTTGGGATTGCATAGGGAGTATATGTTTTGATTTCTTGATAGGAATGATCAGAGCATTGTGAGTTCCAGGGTGAATAAGTGATGAGAACATCACCCAAGTGTCCAGTCCTACAAACATGCCTTTGTACTGACAATAATTGTTTTGACTGCTGTATTGCAGCTGTTGAAAATGGACAGATAGATGTGTTAAGGCTGTTGCTTCGACATGGAGCAAATGTTAATGGATCCCATTCTATGTGTGGATGGAACGCTTTGCACCAGGCTACTTTTCAGGTAACCTCTGAATTTATTATTTCATTTCCATGTAAATTATGTGTTTTACCCTTTTAAAATGACAGTTCTGTACAGTTTTTGCTTCCTACTTGCCTGTGATTTATGATGGTTAGTGCAGTACAGAAAAGGCAGTCTAAATGCTAATGATCATTCTGAATAAGCCAACTGCTCTGGTAGTTCCAGCAGCTTTGGGCTTCAGGAATTATCTAAGTTTTTCATATGTTGATAGCATAGTTAAGAGGCCATCAGAATATTTGGGATATGAATTGATAAGAAGCAATGGCTTATTTTATTTATAGCAGTGTGTTTAGAAACTGTGGTAACTCCTTAGTGCTTGGGCTAGCAAACTAGTTTTGCAAGCTTTAAAAGGATTATGATTCTTAGAGATCAGTGTTTCATCTATTTATGTTTAATGGGCTAGCTAAAGGTATAGAATATTCTGATTGTTTAATACTTCCTTCTCATTGAACAGTACACTTAAAAAGTTTTCCTTTAGTGAAGATGAAAAAGCCCCAAAATACAACAATAAGAAAAGAGATACCTTCTATTCTCTTTGTTTTCTCCTATTTAAAATATGAATCTGTGCTTTAGGAAAATGCTGAGATCATAAAATTGCTTCTTAAAAAAGGGGCAAACAAGGAATGCCAGGATGACTTTGGAATCACACCTTTATTTGTGGCTGCTCAGTATGGCAAGCTAGAAAGCTTGAACATACTTACTTCATCGGGTAAGATTAAACCATTAGCCTTTGCACTGTTAAGATCTTGAGTTTTAACTGTGTTATCTTCCTAGGAAGTATAATTCTTGACCAGATATAAATCAGGTTGTGAAATTTATGGTTTTATGTTAGTGGTAAATAAGAGTACATACAAGTTGATTTATAAGCCTGGTTACTAACTGTCTATTACTAACATAGTGTGATGCACAGCTACTAATTTATCTGAAGAGGAACATAATGATCTATCACTAAAGCAGGTTTATTGGCAAGTTGAATGATGGGTCTGTTCTTGCTTATGGGGACCTGAGCAGTTCCAGCTTTCTAGGGCATGAGACTATATAAGCTTAATTAATTTATTAGATAGCTATTTTGTATATTAAGCCTTTGAGTTGTATGTTTTGATAAATTGTGTGATTATTTAAATGGGTTTATTTGAAAGCATGTTTACACTTTATTTATTATGTTAATAGCAACATAAACCTACTAAAGGATTCTCTGTGACAATTATACATTCAGCATTTCTGGAGAAGATGGTGTTGAGGTGGCATTCTTATGCTGTGTGACATTTCTGTGACCAGAAATGCTTGTTATATAAGGGGTTCTAAATTCCTCCAAACACTATGTATGGACTCACAGTACTAACCTGATGATGCATGGATAGTTAAGAGCCAAAGGGAAATGTATCAGATTGCCACCACGTAAAAAAAAAAAAAAAAATTTAAATACCTAGGCTTTTTATTTATGTCTATAATACTTAGGTTTTTAATAAATTACCTCCAGGGGGCGCTGGGTGGCTCAGTTGGTTAAGCGTCTTGACTCTTGATCTCAGCTCAGGTCTTGATCTCAGGGTCATGAGATCAAGCGCTGTGTTGCAGACGTGGAGCCTACTTAAAAAAAAAAAAGTTACCTCCAAGTATACAAAACAAAGTTTATTTAGACAGCAAAGCATATATTTTCTTATTTCTGCTTTCTCCTTACAAACTTTCAAATGCTCAAGTTGAAGTATGGAGCAAAGAAAATATTAAGTGCCAAATTAAGATATCTGTTACAAATATTGAGTCTGTAAATCTTAGAGTTGAGAGGAAGTCTCCAAAATCACTTATTTAAACATGTAATTTTTTAGATTAAGAATCCCAGGCCCTGAGTGTTTAAGTGCCTTGCCAAAGGTCTAGAAAATATTTACTGGCAGAATCAGGGCTTGGAAGCAGGTCTTCTCATGTGTGACCTCTCTTGCTCTTTTATGTTGTACCTTCCTGAGGCTGTCCTAATTCATCTTATGGCTTCCAGTCCTGTAAGTTCCAGTTATTAGTGTGTAACTAATATTTAGAATAAAAGGGGTTATGGGGCCACCTGGGTGGCTCGGTTGGTTAAGTGTCTGCCTTTGGCTCAGGTCACGATCCCAGGGTTCTGGGATCGAGCCCTGCGTCAGGCTCCTTGCTCGGTGGGGAGCCTGCTTCTCCCTCTCCCTCTGCCTGCCACTCTGCCTACCTGTGCTCTCTCTCTATCAAATAAATAAATAAAATCTTTTTTAAAAAAAGAATAGGGCGCCTGGGTGGCTCAGTTGGTTAAGTGACTGCCTTCGGCTCAGGTCACGATCCTGGAGTCCCGGGATCGAGTCCCACATCGGGCTCCCTGCTCGGCAGGGAGTCTGCTTCTCCCTCTGATCCAACTCTCTCTCTCTCTCTCATTCTCTCAAATAAATAAATAAAATTAAAAAAAATTAAAAAAGAATAAAATGGATTAAACTGCACCTTAATGACTATTTCCTCATGCCTAGTCTCCCAGAATGCTAAGCACCTGCTCTGTTTTGCTTTGTTCTTAAATGCTAGGCACCTGTTTTGTTTTGCTTTGTTCTTTTTTCCCCTCTCCTCTCTGAATAGTTATGAACAGCAAATTGAAAAGGTATGTAGCTATATTTATAATGTAGCTATATATGTTTCTAACTCATTAAAATGATTTTCCTTTCAGTGAATTATCTGTCATTTTTCTGACCTCTCCACCTGTAATTTTATGGGGCCTGGATCCTTATTCTTTTTGATACTTTGAAATTATCAATCAAAATGAAATACTGCTTAAAAAGGAAAGTTAAGTAGATCTCTTTTCTCAACTTAGTCTTTTCTCAGTGATTAGTGTTCCCTTCTTTCTGAGGCTGACTGTAGATGAAGCATCCACCTTGTATAAGTCAAGAACAGTCTACTTGCCTGGATGTGTTCAGTGTCCAGTTGGAGTTTCTGAAGTTCCATGCACCCTTACTATTAACTTACTATTTGTGTTTTGCTTAGTTTTTGCCTAAGTCGGGGCTGTGGTTTATTCCAGGTACATTTATGGAACATCCTTTCAAAGAGATAGTTTTTTTCCTTGTGATGAAGATGACTTTTCCGCTGAGACATATTCCAGAAATTTAAAAATTCTTAGTCATGTAATAACACTATACTTAGCATACTTAACACACTATTTGTCAATGAGAAAAACTGGGGGATATTTTAAAACCTTCACAGAAAGTGAGGTCACTTTCAGCTTTTTTACATCTTGATGCACTGGCATTTAAATAATTGATTAGTTTTTGTTCTTTAAAAATCAGCTCAGAAACCTATTTAAATAGACATTTTCCCTTTCATTATAAGGTTTTATTGTGCAGTGATCATGAAGAAAAGGGACTTAATGAAGAGTATAGTCAACATTAGCTTTTTTTTTTTTAAAAGATTTTATTTATTTATTTGTCAGATAGAGAGAGAGAGCGCGCAAGCACAAGCAGGGGGAGCAGCAGACAGAGGGAGAACCAGGCACCACTGAACAAGGAGCCCGATGAAGAACTCGATCCCAGGGCACTGAGATCATGACCTGAGCTGAAGGCAGACACTTAACAGACCGAGCCACCCAGGCATCCCTAGTTTTTTTTTTTCATAAATCTTAGCCTGAATTGATTAATGGCATCTATAAATTCTTATGATTTAGGTTTTTCTTATATTTTTCTGTAATAATCAGACATTCCATATTTGTTGGTTTGCATTTTTCATTTTTCAGTGATTACTTATTGGGCCCAGAGAGTGCTTGCTGGAGGACAGATTGGAATGAAATGAATCCTTCATTGAATAAGATTTTTGTTTTAGCTTAAAATTGAATTCTAAAATATCAATCACTTGTTTCCTTAACATAAAAGCGAAAACAATTTAAATGATTACCAACAAATGTGGAAAATCAGTATGTTTATACAACAATATCCATTGGGGTTGGAAAAACTATTGTACTATAAAGCCCTTTTAAGACAGCTGTTTTGAAATTTATGTTAATCATCACCTTTTTCTTTTCATAAATTAGGATTCTCTGTTAAATGTTGTATTTTGTATTAGGTGCAAATGTCAATTGTCAGGCATTGGACAAAGCTACTCCCTTGTTCATTGCTGCTCAAGAGGGCCACACAGAATGTGTGGAGCTTTTGTTATCCAGTGGGGCAGATCCTGATCTTTACTGTAATGAGGACAATTGGCAGTTACCTATTCATGCAGCTGCACAAATGGGTCATACAAAGTAAGTATTAAAACAAAATAAAAATGGTCTCATAATCAAAAAGTAATAAGGAATAAATCTTCTGGGCCAGACCCTTCATCTCTAGGCAGAATCCTTGGTATTCCCTTCTCTGCCAACCTACTATATGACTAGATCCATTCCCATATCTGTCCCGTGCCATCCCGAGCTCTTCTTAGTCTTGCACTTTCCTCATGTGAGCAGAGTGGCTAGAGACAGAATTCTGGGGCATCCTCACGGTGTTTAAGTCTTTCCTCTGATTTCTCAAGTTGTGGCCATGCTCTTCTGCTCTGCTCTGGTTTTATCCCAGGTGTCTTTAGTTAGCGATCTGATGACCTTATTCAACTTATTTATGATACCTCCCTGACCCCAGAAAGCTTTTGAATTTGTGACTCCTTTTGGGTCGAGTCTTTCTTTTGTGTGGGCTGGGTAGTTCTCCCCATCTTGAACCCTTTGACTATCTAATCTCAAGCCCAGCTTGGTACTTTTCCCTGCTTCTGTTACTCTTCTTCCTTAGCCAAAAGATGAAATTTTTGCTATTTTCTGGAGAGGGGAAGACTTAGAGAAACTCCCTGAAATTGGGGGTTCCAGGAATCTTAGAAGCTAATAACCTGGTTATACCTATGAGAATATGGTAGCCCATCTTAACATAAATTGGCAATGAATAGTATTAAAATATATGTTTAAAGTCTTTAGAGTTGTAATTCAAAAATAATAGTTTTATAGTTGTTGTTACTATTATTTAATTTAAAAAGTAGTATTGAAATTGCCGTTACTTTAGTGTGATTACATGGTAAGAAAACAAATTCTGTAATTTGGTTATTATGCCACTAGGTGGCACAGTATTTTACTATTTCCTCAAAGGTATTTTATGTATTTTTGCATCTTGTATAATTTTTCCAATCCATTTTTAAAAGTTAAACATATTTATTAAGGGACATTAAACAGGTTATTTATTTTAACAGAATACTTAGGTTTAAAGATCTGGTATTTTTCTTAAAATTCTTGATTGTGTATTTAAACATAAGTGTTAGGTACAGTTATACTGGGAGCAGGGCTCCTGGGTGGCTCATTTGGTTAAAGCAGCTGCCTTCAGCTCAGGTCATGATCCCAGGGTCCTGGGATCAAGTCCCGCATTGGGCTTCCTGCTCAGCGGGGAGCCTGCCTCTCCCTCTCTCTCTAGCCCTCCCCTGCTTGTGCACTCTCTCTCTCTCTCTCAAATAATAAAATTAAAAAAAAAAAACAACACAATTATACTGGGAGCTTTAAATTGATACCAAAACCCTCTTGGGATTTGTCCTCAATTTTGGGAATTCTGTTTGTCATTACAATTTCCTCCATAGACTACTTCTGATGTAACTCCTTCTGTGAGTGCAAGTTCTACTTAAATGTTAACATCTTAAGCCTACCTTGCAAAAGGCAAGTAGCTTTGGAGTAGCCCTGCCTTTCTTTCCCAGAAAGAGGGGGGATTTCATGTTTGACCTTATCTCTACAGTTTTATTTTTAATTTTAGAAGAGTAGACTAGTTCTTTCCAGCTGAATCTGGAGGTAAGTTTACAAATAATCTAAGAACTTAGGTTTTAATGATTTTCTTTAGAAGTTCCTCTACTTAGCAACCAGTGTCTTTATAAATCTGCCTTAGTGTTTAAAGAGCCTTATATTCTTTTCAGAGAATAGAATATTTTAGCAGAAATTCTTATTTCTTGGGGCACCGGGATGGCTCAGTCGGTTAAGCATCTGCTTTCGGCTCAGGTCATGATGTTAGGGTCCTGGGATGGATCTCCACATTGGGCTCCCTGTTAGCAGGGTGTCTGCTTCTCCCTCTCCTTCTGCTCCTCTTCCTCCCCCTGCTTGTGCCCAATCCCCCCTCCCCACCTTGCTTGCTCGCTTGCTTGTTCTCTCTCTCAAATAAATAAATAAAATCTTTAAAAAAAAAAATTCTTGGGGCGCCTAGGTGGCTCAGTCTTTAAGCATCTGCCTTCGGCACGGGTCATGATTTCAGGGTCCTGGGATCGAGCCCTGCAAGGGGCTGTCTGCTCAGCGGGACGTCTGCTTCTCCCTCTCCCTCTGCTGCTCCCCCTGCTTGGGCTCTCTCTGTCAAATAAATAAATAAAATCTTTTAAAAAAGAAAAGAAATTCTTATTTCTTCCTCATGAAAATACTATTCATTTCATGATACTCACCATCCTTAAAAATTCTTATTAATTAGAAAAATAAGACTTTAGTTTATTAAAAAAAGGGAAGTTTATTTAAAAAAGAAATTATTTATTTTCCTGATATAAGTTTATATCTGGTATAATGAAGTTTTCAATTATTAGATGCTAAAATATCTAACAGAAAATTTGAATTGGGGAGGAGTAGGGTGGTGGGGGTGGCAAAGTAAATAGTAAAAAAATAAGGATAACCTGTTCCCTATTTCCTTATGGTCATATTATTTAAGTCTGTTTTAGATATATAGTAAGGACCTTTGTATAAAGCAACAATAGTAAGGGTAACATTTTGGAGTATACAGCCAGTAATAATTTAATGTAGGTAGAAGACAGAAAGACTTTAAATCAATCAGTGGGTGGCTCTTTAAATATGTGCTGTAGAAAATGTTGCCTGCACTCATGTACGTATAAAAACATTAAATGCTCCTGAATTTGTGTGGTTATAGAATCTTGGACTTGTTAATACCACTTACCAACCGGGTTTGTGACACTGGGCCAGACAAAGTGAGTCCCGTTTACTCAGCAGTGTTTGGAGGGCATGAAGAGTGCCTAGAAATGTTACTCCAGCATGGCTACAGCCCAGATGCCCAGATGTGCCTTGTCTTTGGATTCAGTTCTCCCATGTGTATGGCTTTCCAAAAGGAGTATGTATATTTGCTGTATTTTTATTCTTTTTTGCTATATGGAGATGTATTTCCAAGTGATTTTCTTTTATGGTGAAACTTATTATCTCATAGTGCTAAATTGTTGACTTAACAAACAAATAACCCTCTATGATGTACCTTGTTCCATCAAAGTACAGTAAAAATGAAGTGATAATGCAAGATTTTTTTCTCTTCTCTTTTTGGATCTGGATTATATTTTCATTGTGGCCACTTTAGAGAATACTTTCAGTGTATTAAAGTAAATGCAGGGTGGGGCGCCTGGCTGGCTCAGTTGGTGGAACGTGCAACTCTTGATCTCAGGGTTGTGGGTTTAAGCCTGACATTGGGTGTAGCGACTGCTTAAGAATAAAATGTTAAAAAAAATAAATGTAGGAGTTCTCTGCTAATTCTTGGTTTTCAAAACAATTCAAAAATTAAAACATTCAGTTATATGATGAATAAGGCCTGAGGATCTAATGTATAACTTGATGACTATAGTTGATAACACTGTATTGTATAATTGAAATTTGCTAAAAAAAGAAAATGGTAAATATGCAATGTGATGGATGTGTTAATTCTGTGGGGGGAAATCCTTTCACAGTGTGTATATTTATGGGATTATTATGTTGTATATTTTTAAATAACTGAAAATCTTATTTGTCAATTATACTTTAGTAGAGCTGGGGGATGAAAAAAGAATTTAAAATGACTTTATCAAGTAAGGCATTGATTGTGTTTCAGGTATTTTACCATTTGAAATTTATAAGACTTGTTCTTAGCCTAAAAATGAAACTTTAGTTTTGTAAATATTATTGTACTTTTAATGTATTCAGTATGTGGCATTTCTTAGAGTCAGAGTAATTAAAAAGTCTTAAAATAATTGTTCTGCTAATCTTCTATGATCCTGTGAAGTAGAATAAATGAAGAATTACTGCTGTTTTATTAGCTTCTGGCCAGTCCTTGTCTATAAGACTCCTGAGGTTTTTAAAATAGATAGTAAGAATAAGGCCATGTGCAAGAAAAACCGTACTGAGTAATATGTGGGGTCCATCCATTAATGGAGTAAGTTGTGCAGATAGACACTCTTGTTTTTATTGATACAGAAGAGGTTGTAGGCATACCCCAAATATCATTGGCTCTCTTGAATTCACTATTATGGACAGCTCTCCACTATTTAATTGAAATATCTATCAAAAATTTATTTTCTAAGCTTTTTAGTCTACCATTTTTTAACATTTCTGTGTAAAATAGTAGTTCATTTTATTTATTCAGAATGCAAGCTTCCAAGTATATATTGTAGTCTGAATATTTGGGGCTTTAGTGAATCGGAGTATCTGGGACCTACTCGATGCATTACTTCCATGATTTCATAGTAGTTTGTTGTGTACTCCTTCAAGTTTTCTTTCTAAACACTTATAGTTTTTCTTCAGTAAGGCTGCATTGATGACTTTAGTTGTTTCAGTTGTCTTTCTTTATATGTATCTACCTCCATTATATTTTATTATTAGGTCAGAATTGAACTTTTAAAAATACTATATTAGAACATAGTGGTTTTAGATAGTTTGTATATGTGTTTGTCCAATATGATGATAGTCTTTTCTGGCCTTCATTTTATCTTTCGGAGGAAGAGCAGCTAAGCTCATGCCTCATCAGCCTCAAAGTGTAGTTTGAATTAAATCATATGACACTGTGCCCTGTTAACCCTGAAACACCTTAAAATTAAGTTTTTCTGGCCTGAAGAATCAGGTAAATTGAACCTTATGGGACAGAGAGTGTGAGGGGAATTCTGGAGAAGAGAGAGCTGGAAGAGGGCACCCTCTAATTCTCTGTATGCATCTGCATATGTCCCAAGGTCACTCCAAGCTTTGAATGACAGGCTCAGATTGCTGAAAACAAGATTTAAACTGTCACCCAAGTCTCAGAGTAACCCCTGAGTGGCACATTTGATGGGACCAGACCCAAAATAGCATAACAAAGACTTTAAGAACTGAATTGACATTGCAGCTACAGCCTGTAGAAGGTGAAACAGAAATTGCAGTCTGAACTAACTAGGTTATATGCCTGCTAAAAAAAAAAACAAACAAAAGTCAGTATTCTTCAAAGGATTAATACAGGACACAGGATACAGAACCTACACAACAATCACATCACAACACCTAGGATATAGTCTAAAATTACTTGACATGTGAGGAACAGTAAACTATGCCCAGTTCTCAAGGGAAAAGAATTAACAGGTGTCAAACCCGAGATAATTCTGCTTTTGGAAATATCAGGTAATTGAAAGCAGCTATTTAAGGTAAACACACTTGCAATAAATGGAAAGGTAGAAATTCTCAATTGAGAAATAAAAACTGTAAAGGAGGAACCACGTGGAGATTTTATAACTGGAAAATACAGTATCTGAAATGAAAATTTCTCTGCGTGGGCTCCACAGCAGAATGGAACTGACAGAGGAAGGAGAGGAAGGAGTCCGTTAACTTGAAGGTAAACCAATAGAAATTATCCAAAGAGAAGAAGAGAGAGAAAAGATTGGGGGAAATAAAAAAGGACGGAGCCTCAGGGTCCTGAGGGACAGTATCAACACATTGACATTCATGTCATTAGAATCCAGAAGGAGAGGAGAAAGAGATTGTTGCACGAAAATTATGTGAACTCATAATGGCCAAAAGCTTCCCAACATTGCATAAAAGGTACACATTTATAGATTTAGGAGGTTCAGTGAACTGATACAGGAGAAAGCCAAAAAAAAAAAAAACATACTCAAAAATAATCAAACAGCTGAAAACTGAAAGTAAAGAAGCAGCAGTGTGCTGTACGGTGATCCTTGATCACAGACTCGAGCTACTCTTGGAAATTCTGCTCTGGGAAGTGACCCTATAGACCACAATTGAAATCTGGTTTGGTGGCTTTAAAAGGGCTTATCAGCTTTTTTTTTCTCCCTTGTGAGAACTTGTAATTGGACCAAATGTGTTCTTAATTAGTAAGGTAGGTTTTTTTCAGTGAGAAAAGTCATTGGAAGATATTACTTGTTAGCCTATAGGGGAAAAGCTTAAAACATCAAAATACCTGTTTTATGACATTCTCCTGCTCTTTGTACTTGACTTTTCAGTTGTTTGCCTGGGACCCATGGCAACAGACTTAATTTTGAGACATCTTTGCTATTATTACCTACTTTGTGGGTAATTTAAATGAAGGGGAAACCTTTCGCAAGGGACTAAATCTAAGCGATGGTAGCATTATAATCACATATGCTCACATTTAATGTGTGTATGTAAAGGAGTTGACTTAAATATAGTACATTGTATAATTTTTGGCACATAGTAAAAAAGCACCAAGGTTAATTTTCTTCTCCCTGCCATCTTCCTTTTATCTAGAAAACAATATCAATTAAATTTTAATCTCTGTACTGCATTTATATTAGCTAATTAATGTCTGCTCTTAGTTTACATGTCAGTCACTGTACATGCAATGTGAGAATCATTTGATTATTTTGGAATTCCATAAAAAACTTTGCTGATCAAGCAAGAAAAGTGTCATTCTCCCAGTAGGTTTTGTTTTAGTATATCAAGAGAGTAACATAGCCAAGTGTCTGGGGGAAAAAAAGTAAAAATAGAAGAATTTGTTAATTTTTTGTTGTTTCTTTCAGTAAGTATGCATTTTAAAATTTGGATTCTCAGGGGCACCTGGCTGGCTCAGTTGGAAGAGGGTGCTACTCTTGATACTCGGGGTCGTGAGCTCAAGCCCCACATGGGGTGTACAGATTACTTAAAAATAAAATCTTGAAAAAAAAAAGATTTGGATTCTCTATAGTCACACACTTAAAAATTAATTAAATTAATTAAAATTGCCATTTAAAAAGCAAGGATAATTGAATATAACTTTCATTTAAAAATAGCTATTACGTGCTTTTGTTCCATAATGAAACAGTATATGAATTTCTTTTACTCCATTTACCAACTATTAATAAGAATTTGAGTTAGCTTGGAAGACTGTTTTCTGAAATTAATTATTATTAGATACTAAAATTTTCAGAGATTTAGTAAGAGATAATGAGATAGGTTTAGTAGTGTAAGTTTTGAAATTTTATTTTTATAGCAACCATATGTTCTTATAATAATGTTAGTTTGATTTTTGCATTTGTGTGTTTTTTGGTAGTTTTGGCATTTCTCTGAGATCTAGAAATTTAGTATTTGTGGCCCTTCTTGCACTTTTGGCCTGTTGTGTTTCGGTAAACTTTCGTCTGCTTTTATGAATAGTATAATGAATATCAAAAGGTGATGAAAATAATAAATATAAATAATGGCTCTGGGTTTTAAGTTTTCCCTTCTTTATTGTTTTATGTTTTATTCAGCCATGTTAACTTTTTAGCTCAGGATTCTAAAACATTTTTGTTCTGTATCCCTCTGAGAGGATAAGCTTCCATTTGAAGCAATGATCTTTAGCTCTTCTCACCACTGTGAGGAATGATGGAAAGGTGTCTCCTCCGCCACTGTACAAAAAGCAGTCTTATCCTTTGGGGCTAAAAAGTTAACAGCTGCAGTGACACGAAAGCGTCTTTCAAAAGCACAGTTAAGTAATTCAACTCAAATGAGAAAATATAAGAAAAAGACTCCTTTAACTGGAATGGGTGAAGGAGGAGGGAAGCTGACACATTTCAGTACGGTTTGAACAAATGCTATTGCCTTTTATAGATGACCGTAGAACACGATCATGGCTCAACTGAATTGATTTTGTCTTTCTAATTGATACTGATCATTGTTATCGCATAGTTTTATAGAAATCATGTCCACTCTCATCATCATATCACACATGGGTACACCTGACAGGACCTAATGTCTTCATTTTGTTTTCAACTGTTAGCTGAGAGCCATTCAGTAAAATTTACTTTATGACCTTTTGATAATTCAGCTAATAAGTTGGTTAGATGTTTTGTTGGCTCATTGGACATAAAATACTCAAGATGTTTGCCTGTTTCTTTTTTCTTCTTTCTTTTTTTTTTT